GTGTGTATGTGTGTTTAGGGAGGGGGAGCGCGTGCAGAAGAAAGGAACCCTGAGCTGTATCATGTACAATTGCAGGACAAACGAAAGAATGCGCTGCTTGTCATAAACGCCAAAGTGACCGTCGCGGTCAGCTCCGAAGCTTCCTCCCTGACCTCTGCCTTAACGCATGACGCACAGCGAGAGGACGCAAGCAGAACAGCCTTTTGGTTGGATCCCTCGCAGGTTACACGAAACAAAATCATTTTGACAAGACGTATGCATACTTAATGCAAAGCGTTGCACAGTGGCGACCAGCAATGGCATAATATTGGTGAAATTGTTCTGTACTGGTGAAATTGTGAGCATGTTATGTATGTAAGTAAGTATATATTTATGTATGCATGCATATTTAATTATGCATCTATGTGTGTATATGCCATTGTAACTCAAATTTCCCCGAGGGGACTATTTAAAAAAAATAACATAATGAAATTTAACTCCAATTTTAACGCCGTCTTTCGTGTGGCGGTTATTCAATCCACCGTCACACACAGAAATCCAAAGTTCGATTCCCGTGTGGGAAGGATTTTTATCAAGTGCCTTGGTCTTTCTGCTGGGATGTTGTATCCCTCTCAGCCCATGTTAACCCTGACAGGTAGATTCGAAGCCAGCCTCCTTCAATGATCTAAATCGTGTCGATGGAGGCGAAAACTCCTATTATTATTATTATTATTATTATTATTATTATAACACACACAAAAAAAACAACTTTTACCCATCTGAAAACAATTTTTTTTAAATTAAATTCTACAAGCTGTAAGTACAGTCCCCACTCCCGTACACTGTGTTTGTTTGTTTTGTTTTGTTTTATTTTAGTAGAGGTTTTATGGTGCTCGCAACTGCATAAGGTCATAAGAGCGCCAAGGGGTGGATGTCAACAGAGAAGTCCTTACAGGGCTCACCTCTCTAGCTTTAACAGCAAAAAATCTGCTTCGACTATCAAAGCACTCCGGAAATAGCGGGTCACAAGAGTGTGACAAACATGAAAAGAAGAAAAGGAAAATGACGATAGTAAGGGTTAGGAAAGAAAAAGCAGCAGTTCCCTGTTGTAGTTCAGGCACAGTTATGAGCATGACATCGTTGGGCCCATTTACAATTCTACTGTGCATTAAAACGAGAAATGTCCCCCCTTTGGGAGTGACCTAAAGACACTTCAGTCAGCGGCACCGCCCCCCCCCCCCCCCCCCCCCGGGGGGAGGGGGGTTGTTTGCTTGTTTGTTTTAGTGAAGAGAAGGATATAGAAACAATAATTATCATTTAGTACTGGAGGGGGGGGGGAGTAAAACAGACAGACAGACAGAAGCAACAGAGAATGAATAAAAAGAATCAGGACCTACCAGTGGCGCCTTCCAACCGCCTGCTCGAACATCGTTGTCTTTTTATTTCTTTTGTTTTGTTATTAAATATTCATATTTTCGTTGGATCATTTCTTTATGTAGATTCCATTTTTGTGCGCGATTGTTTTTCTTTTTGTATGGGGGGGAAAGGGGGGGGGGGTTATACCAAACAACAGTAAACAGCCCAGCACAAAACCAGACAACACAAAGCCAGGGAAACCGCACGTACAGAACAAGAAAATCGATCTATGAATGTACGAGGCCACGGAGAATTATTGTCAACCAAAAGAAAGCTTATTTGAGACAAGTACGTATCCCACGACTCGTCAAGCAATTATGATCTCTATACAGAGTAAGGTGTGGAAAGTGGGTAGTTGGCGGGTGCTCTGGTGTGATTTGTTCCTTCTTTCCTATCAAACATCTATCGTCCTTATCTCCCCTTCTTCATGTTCGTGTTTGTTACTCTCTTGTAACACCTCTAATCTTCTGGCGCTCATATGACCTTATGCAGTTGCGAGTGCCGTAAAACCTCTACTAAAACTAAACTAAGGTGTAGAATAATCAAAATGTGCCCTCTGTAATGATACGACTAGGCTAACTTTGGTTTATTTATTTATTCGGTTCTTTTATGCGTTTGCGATTTTATAATCCTTCTTATTATTATTACAATTGTTTTTTAAATCATTCTTTTTTAACATCTTTTACTATTAAAATTATTTTACAATAATTTTTACATCTTTCTTTTTTATGATTACTCTATTATGATATAATGTTTGTGCCCGATTACCCTTTTAGACGATGATGATGACGACGACGGCGATGGTGGTGGTGATGATGATGATGATGATGATGATGATGATGATGATGATGATGATGATGATGATGATGATGATGACGATGACGATGATGATGATGACGATGACGATGATGATGATGACCATCATTACTATTACTATTACTATTACTATTATTATTATTGTCACAATTTTTCATTTTTTCTGTATTTCTTCTTTTTTGGGGGAAGTGTTTTGTTTTGTTTGTTATTGTTTGTTTTTGTTTTTTTAGAGGGTGCTTTGTTCACGCTTTAGTTTGGACACAGGGCGTGTGTGGGGGTGACATGGGTGTTAGTTGCATGTCCCCAGCTCAACAGTTCACCGCGACACTCGACAGGATCAAGCAGTAAAGTTATAGGAAGCTGGTGTGACGAAAACAACATCTGAGGACAGTGAGAAAACCAGCTGCAGTGGTCACCTTCGTACGGTCGGTTCTCCCACATACGTGAACTGGTTTACAGCAACTCTGAACGAAGTCAACACGAATTGACCGAGAAACTAGATAGAAATGATTGTCTCCCCCACTCGAAAATCGAACTGTAATCGGGTCTCCTGAGTGCGACAGCGCCCGGGGTGCCTAACTGCTACACCATTGAAGCCGGTGTTCTTTTTGTTATTACAATTACAATGTTGTTATTTTTCATTACTCTCTTTATTATGACAGTTATCATTAGTTCACTATTGTATCTAATATTATGTTCATTATAATATTAACTTTTTTATAATTATTGTTTTGCTCTATTATTTTAATTTTTTTTAATATTGTGATATTTTATATTTAATTTATCATAACGACATGCAACTTAATTTTACTGTAACTGTTGGAATTAACTTTTACTTCCATTTCTATTTCAGGGTACGTTCGAAACCAGCAGCTGTAAAGTGCTCCCCTACGCTGGTCCACGAAGAATGAGGTGAAGATGACAATGTGGGAGACAAAAGAAACTAGTCACAAACATCCCCAGCTGTGGCTGGAAACATAATAATATCGCTAGCTCAGAACTGCAAAGTTCTCTCTGAATTTTTGGGTCGTTTGGAGTTACTAGAACCAGGAGATCAGAAATAAAATGCTCTGTTTTACCAAAAGAGTAAGCTTATTCTTAGCCCTTATCAAGATATACAAAGATTTACAATCGAAAAAGCTTGGCATAATGAAACTAAAAATTTAGTTCGTAAATTTTTTCTGAACTAGGTACTGAGCAGAGTGATTCTAGGGTGGCGATGTGTTTTCGGGGCTGTCGTCTAGAGGTTCCGCTGTTCGCCTCTCACTCAATAGGTCCTGGATTCTATACCTCGCAGCGACGGGAAAATTTCTTCTCTAAAATTGTCTCTTTTACCCTCGTGAGCAGCTCCTACTCCTCCCTTTCTCCAGATCACATTTCTCTCTTCTTATTTTCTTACCACTTACATTTCAACCCTTTTTTTTTCCTTGGGTTTGGGGAGAAAGGGGTCAGGTCTTTTCGTCATCTCAGACGAGAAATGAATTTTAATGCAATTTTAATTTCAGTTTTAGATAAAGTTCACGTCACTTGCAAATAGAAATGGGTCATATAAGTGCCGAATATTTGAGGTGTCACTAAAATGTTACATACAAAAAAGAGGATTTAGTGCGAGTTTAGCGGCACTTGCAACATGAAATAGGTCATGTAAGTGCTGAACACTTGAGGTGCTATATTTGAGTCTCACATAAAAAACCCAAAAAAAAAAAAAGAGGACA